CGCCTAGCGCAACTGCACGTGACTCATGCTGTCCTTTCTCCTTACGACAGTTTAATCAATTACATTATTTTTTGCTAAGACGGACACTGACAAATAGATACGTAAAATATAGAGCCGAACACGTCTGTCGAGAGATAAATGTGGACGCCAACACCGCTCATTCGGTACAGCTCGTCTCCATCTGAGATATCCAGGCTGTGCCTTTCACGATTGCGAAGGTGAAAGCAGCTGTCTCGACTCTGGTGGAAAGTACGATTTTTTCTTCACTGGATAGACAGGCAGCTTTGAAGCGCTGAAGACGATGACTACCATATCCACATCGCCAAAAGTAAATTGGTAGGAGCTATAAATCACCAAACAGGAAAATGTTTACGATATTTACACTCCTCAACAGCCCTCACCCAACCGGCTCCAACTTGTTCCTTGATGCTATTCCACAACTGCTGTCATTGCTAATAAATACGTAATAACTTCTTTTTTTAGCACTTATAAGAGTACCTTCATGGTAAAAAATTTAATTTTCGAGTAACTTTTAGAACAACTAAGTAAACACTGTAGAGTATCCAGTTTGGGTTTAGAATTTCTAGTCTGATAGTTAAGGATATGAGACATGCCTATTCATGGCTTACCAAGTAAGCAGACCGGTCTCCAGTTTCGTGAACTTTATCTAGTGATCAAATTGAATCCTTAAAGTCAGAACAGAAAAAGGAAATTATCAACTTATCACTATAAATCAACCTACGTTCTTAAATTAAAATAGGTAAATAGCTTATAATTTGGAGGTAAAGTGCCATGATAGAATGTAGGTTGGGGTCTCGTTTTGTACGAGCAAACATTCAATTCATTTTTATAAACAGAATTAAATTTTCTTGTTGATTAACTTAGCACCCATACAAATACATGTCGAGTGAACTTTAGAACGACTAAATCAAATGCCGTACAGTGCGTTTAGATTAGGCGGTCAGATATAAAAATGTCAGCAAACACAGAAAAAAAACGCAATTTAGCTCAAGTTATTAAAGCAAAGATAGGCAAACGCCTTTGAGCTTCCTGCTGGTGACAAAGTGACAAAGAAATGCATTTGTAAAGCAGAAATATTTCTCGGGTAAAGCACCTCGGCTCATTGAGGATGCTAATTTGCACGAACGAGTAGGTCGCACAAAAACAAAAAGAGAAAGAAGTCATTGGGTATTTTTCCGATACTATGGAATTTTAAATGGGATTTGAAGAATTTTAAGGATAAAAGACTGTCATTCATGGGGGAAAATATCCTCAGAGTAAGACCATCCTACTGATGGCACTGTGTGAGGTAAGTCAGGGAGCATACTCCGGACTTCGTCGGTATATTAAGGGTAGCAACGAACAGGGGAGACTAGCGATCGCCAGATCATCATCGAAGTGCCAGTCATGCGACCAGGATATGCCCTTGCTGATTACCGAGTCTGCAGTCAGGGTGACGAAAATATTAGAACTCACCAGTCCGTTGCTGGTCGATATGAGAATTTATCAAATCATAAAATGAATGTGATTTTTGATTTAAAAGAGAAGAAACGGTTACTCATGGGATGTTACCCTCCTTTGGGATCTAAAATCTTCCCCGTCAAAGGATAATGCCTAAATTGGATGAGGCTATTCGTTGCAGATTGGACAGTGCAAGCAATCGCCAAAGCAGCGTGACAGAAGGGACCCACCACCATCTTTTGCGATTTTCTTGGTGTCAAAGCGAAGAGGGAACACTAAACTCCGTGAGGGTAATAAGAGCGCAGAGGAATGTGACCATGATACTTTTCCCACTGACCTACTAAACTACCAAAGCCGCTGTGATAGTGAGCAAATCCTTAGGGTCGGAACGCGGTGATTACCTCAAAAGTTGCGAAGATTATTTCTGCAAGAAGTGAATATCAGTGGGTTTGCCAACCAATCAACACACATGGGCTTGTACAAATGTAACTAGGAATTTCAATTTGGTAGGACTGACTTAAGAGGTCTTTTTGACTTTGACTTATAACAATAACCTACTTTTACATTGTCATTCACCCGACTTTCCCTTTTTCGTTTAATTCCACCAACAGGTCGAATTTCTGTTTTCGTTAAATTCTGCCAATATAGGGTAAAATTTCCTTCAAGTGACATTCGTATCCTGCGCAACAGGAGTTTATGTAGATTGAATTTTATTCAATTAATATATTAAAACAAATATAGTCTTACTTAATTTAATATTTTTTAATCACTTCCAAAACAATTAGATATTCATTTAACCTCACTGAAAAAAATTAAAATTTTGAACACAAAATACGTAAGACAGTTGGGCGGGGGGATAGCTATGTAGAGGGCTCTTCAAGTCAGTTTCGCCTTCAATTTGAACAAGTTAAGCATTCACTATCTATCCCTGAATTCCGAGAGGGTCATTTTCAAGGTCCAGAAATTGACCCTTCGGGATTGAAACGGCTAACAATGACTTTATACATTCCGATACTTAAGCGATGTTCGTTTATGAACCTTAACCAACCACTAGGCTACTAGCCGCTACGACTCAAGGCAGAGCGGGACACATGAGTTCCATTAGTGGTGAGTGAACATGCATCAAATAGTGTCAATAGCTCTGGACCTAAACCGGCAAGACAATGAGCTCGTGGCTCAAGCGTTCGACTCTGATCCAAAAGGTTGCGAGGTAGAGCCTCGAATGGAGCCCCACTTAAGTCTGGTCCCAAATCGTTTCGTCCTATGGCCTGCTTTTCTGCACTATTGAAGCTTGCAGAACAAGTTGCCTTAGACATCATCACGCAATCTTCTTCCGACTTTTCCGATCTCTTGCAATTTGCGTATAAGGCTAGGCGTAGTACACTAGACGCTGTTGCTCTGGTAGTCAATTATGCTCTACGGGGTTTAGTTAAGGGCTGAAGTGCATATGGATGTGCTTTTCTCGACTACTCCTCAGCCTTTTATACCGTCCCGCACCATCTTCTACTTAATAAAACTTCTGCATGAGGCTCTCCCGGCTGGGCTATCTCTTGACTTGGGGACTAGTTCACTTCCCGCACTCAATTCGTTCAGTGCGGTAAGCGAAAATCCACGGTCCTTCCCAACAACTGTGGAGTTCTGCAAGGTTATATATTATCCCCTCATCTCTTCTTCCCCCACATTGACGACCTACGATCGCCAAACGAACGTTTGTTTGTTAAATATGCTGATGATATGGTTTGGGCCATTCTCTGAGAAGCCAGATCCACCTCCAAGTACTGAAGGATGGTCTGGACCACGTCTCAACATGGTCGTCAACAAATGGCCTTTTACTTAATGAGCGGAAGTCAGTCCAGTATATTTTTGGACTGCGACCTTCTTTCAGTCCTGAAACTATTGACATTCTGTCCAACGAGGTGTCCTCTTTCCGATACCTTGTGTTAAGCTGACATTCAATCTTATATTTACTCTTCATATAGAAGACCTTTTTATTAAAATCCGCAAACGTTTAAATTATATCCGCCGCTCGCGTTCATATCGCACACCGCAAGCCCAAATCTGGCGATCTATAGATGCCTGCATTCTCCCCCTCATTCTTTACTGCTCTCCAGTTATTGTT